CCCCAAAACCCCAAAACCCCAAAACCCCAAAACCCCTGCAAAAGTGAAAATATTGAACAAAAATCAGATTTTTTTGAAAATTACAATTTTGAAGTGTTTTTGGAAATTTTTAAATTTTTTTAAGTGGAAATTTTAAGTTGAGAAGGCTGTGAAAAAGGAGGGGTCTTGAAGGGAAATTTTTGGATTTTTAATTGGTAAATTGGTGAGGTGGTGGAGGAAAAAGTAGGATTTTAGAGGGGTGAAGGAAGGTTTTGGGGAATATGAGTAAAATTTATGGGAGCGGTGTGGATTAGGTTTTAGAATTATGAATTTTTGATGCCTGAGAGGAAGTGTAGGAAAAGAGTTATTTGATTCATGGATTATTTGATCGTGTATGTTGATAATAAACCTTGATTTGAGAGTTATTGCAGAATTAATACCAATTTTGAGGCACTATTGGAGTATGTTATTCTATTAATCTTTCCTTAAATTTATTGGCCTATTTTCTGCTGATTTCTTCCCGAGAATTTGTGATCACCTGAATTATTGGTGATAGAGGAATCAAAAACTTTTCAAATGTAAAATAAGAATTTTAGATAAAATTTTAATCTTCACTAAGAGTTTTTTGCAAAATCTAGTCTTACTATATGCCCTTATTTAAATTTTTTTTCATCTTGTATATATTTCATTAGTTCCAACGAGTAGTATGTAAGAGAATTTACACCAAAATGTCCCTTTAAGAGCCTCCCCATAAAACTATACGAAAGAGTGCTAGGTTTCATGATCCTTCTTAGATATTATGATATAATACAGGTGCTTATAGAAGGCATCAGGATTGCAATCCTAAGTTAGGCAAAATTTGGTTAACCATATTAAATTATTTACTAATTACTTTTTTTGAATCAAGCAAGTTTTTACGACTACTTTTGTATAGTTTAAATAGCTTCCTCCACTTAATCTTATGAGAAGAGCAGGGAAAATTGATGAAAATTGAGGAAAATTATTGAGAAATCGAGCAATCAGTAGTCTCATTACAACAGAAATTCTATCGGAGGCAGACTAGTCTCTATTTCTAGCAGTTGGCCTCTCTAAACTCTACGATATAAGGTTTACAGTTTGTTTTACATCTTTTAAATATCAAAGGATGTTCTAGGGGGTTGGAATGCTCTATAGATATATTTTTCCATGAAGAAAAGTAATTAAAATCCTCTCATATAATAATTGAGTGATTCCCAGTTTTATTCACAAATTAGTTATAGAAAATCTTGGTGTTCTCAAAATTTTTGGAATGTCCAAGGGAAGCGATATAATAAGCTTATTTTAGCAAAATCAGTAAGTTTGTGAAATCTCATCTTTGGGATGTCAATCAACATCTGCAAAAACATTAGGGAATCTTTTAGGGCAAGGTGTCCTTGATCTAGACTTTATTTCATAAAACCCTGACGACCCTGCAACTGGATTGATGTAGTAAAATGTGTGTTGAGAAAATTACACCTGAACACTCTCAATGTATGCTTGATTATATAGCCCAATGGAAATAGCAGGTTCTTAGCTAAACAGATACTTTGATGGTCTCTGCTTAGACTTTAACAAAAAACCGGATTTAAGTTAATTTTCCTAAGAGATGATCAGGAGACCTCGTAAACCAAACTTTTATTAATGAAATCTCTGTATCTCAATATCAGCATAATTGATCGTCCGCTTCACCAATTCATCATGAGTCATAGTCAGTATAAAATTTAGGAAGGTTATATTGGAGCATACTGTGATATTTGTACCTTCTGTTTAAATAAAATGGTATCCCAGATGTTATCAATACCAGTATTTCCACAATAATACAACCTCAAGGTGGAAGAGTAGAAGCTCTGTTCTACGACCCGAGTTTGTCCCTATCATTGGCTAGAAAGAGGACTCCCGAAAAGTAAGGTAACGTAAAAAGTGTTCAAACTTGGTGAATCTTAGTAAAAGGATTATGATTAATTAATAATATAACCAGGAAGCGAAGGCTCCTAGTTTTAAAGTATAATTTGTAACTCAAATGCTTGTGGTAGGCTTATCTGGAAGATTCCTTCTTCATTCAGGAACTGAGAGATAGATCCCTCAGTTATGGAGTCTGAGCAGCACCTTGGTTTGACAAAGAGATATTCAATTTCGTTGCCACAATTTTTAGGAGCAGCGCTTTTTGGTTCAGGAGAAGAGGTTTTAGAATACTGGTTCTTCATATCTCTGATTAACAAGGAAGGGTTTGATTTAGAAGCTTGGCTAAGATTTATGGTATCTATCTTGAGTGTATTCAGCTTCCTTCTTCTCCTCCTATACGATACTGATAAGAATAGGTTAGGGGACAACAAGCTTTTACAGATTTATCGGTTCGAACTACTAAAATTTGCAACAGAATTTCGAAGAAATATTTCTCCAAAAACTAGGAGTAAGATCAATATTTCCTATTACTGAAAATCCTTTGAATCGTCTAATTACTTACTTTAGAAGAGAGTTCTGGGAGCTATCACCAGCCTTGATCAAGTCTGGAAGTCTGGAATTAGGCATGGAGCCATTTTTCTCCAGCTTTGCCTTGTGAGGTTTTTGGGAGATTTCTCTCATATTTCTTTTGTTGAAGTCCATGTTAGGTTTAAAATATTATTAAGACTAGTTTCACCTCTTTAAATTATGTACGGGGTTTTGGGGTTTTGGGGTTTTGGGG